CTCCCCCTGGCGCCGGGTGACGGCCAGCTGGTACCTGGGGACGGAGAGCAGGGGGGTCGTCCATGCTGACGCAGGGCAGAGCAACCGCAGCATCGCAGCCCAGGGACGCACTGGGGTGGAACACATCCTCAACCCATACCTGGGGACACAGCCAGTCCAGGGAACAGCGCTGGCACAGAGCAGCGACAGGCGGCAGCCCCGGCACGCGCGGACTCTGGGGCATTGCTCGCTGCCTGCAGCTGCACCAGCACGAAAACACGAACACGTCCCGGTGCAGAGGCTGGCGCTCCCTGCCCAAAACAGGCCGGCAGCCCCATTTCTATCTCCTATGGCCTCCCTGGGATGCGGGCCCTTAAATTTTGCCCTGACAGTGACCCAGCTCTGTGCTTATTCCAGGCATTTTCCAAAAGACATCCTGTCCTCACATGGAGACGTCAAGCCCTGGAGGAAGCCGGTGCTTCCCTTGGGAGCCCATCCTATCACCTGATTGCCCTCACAGGGAAAAACACGTGTGATCACTCTGGATTAATCTTATCTGGGGTCAGATTCCTGCCTGTGAGCTACTATGAACAGATGTCATTGAGCAACTTCTCAAGGGGTTTTCAGAGCCAAAAAATCTGCATGTTTGCTATTTAACCCCTCCCTACACCCTGGAAAAGCTTTGCCGGGAACCCAGAGCAGCGGGGACACGATCGGAGAGGGAGGGGGAGCCCCATGCATCCCCACCCCTGCCCCAGCTGATTGCCCTCTCCATGGGGCTGCTGGTGGGCAGGGGCTCCCCAGGGGAGCTGGCGACCTGCACCCGGTAGCTGCGTGGGTGCCCCCACTTGTTGGACCTGGGGCCAGTGAAGGAGAGGTAACGGGGCATGGGGGCGTTGACAGGGAACGCTGCCTCATCCTCCCGCTCCAGCCTCTGCCGGTGGAGACGCGGCCGCTCGATGATGTGCTGTGAGCTCCACGGGGCCTTCACCAGCTCATACGTCATGTCCTGGCTCTCCAGGGAGTTCAGCCGCCCTGTGAGGAAGAAGGGAAAACCCTCTGGAGCTCCATGCCCAGGACAGAGCTGCAGCCCCGGCAAACCGCGGTCGCGCATGGACCTACCATCGACATCCAGGTCCACCTTGTAGTGGATGTGGTGGAGGTGCATGGTCCCCAGCGTGTGCAGCCCAACCCTGTTGCCGTAGTCAGTGCCTTGGCCGTGTAGGAAGGAGGAGCTGATGTAGCCAGTGGCATACACCCGCACCTCCACGGCCCCGTTGCTGTGGAACATGAAGTCCCAGATGTAGTCATAGTTGATGAGTGTGGAGATGGTGCGGATGACCAGTGTGTTTTTCCGCAGCCCCCCATAGTACAGGGACTGTGAGTCGGAGAAGTGGCGCCGCAGGGGGAGGGCGGCATCGTGCTCAAAAATGCAGAGCGAGTTCTGGTTGGTTTTGGGGGTGTCTGACTCCACCAGGTAGTGCCGGTCCACATAGGTCGCTGTGTAGGGGCAGTCAAGGCCGCGCACGAGCTCGTAGGCGAAGTTGCCTATGCCGAAGCTGCCGTCGAGGTACCGGGTGGACATCCCCCCGGGGCAGTTGGAGCCGTACAGGGCTAAGGCCTCCTGGAGACTCAGCTCATAGATGATCCTCTCCCCGCGGTACTGGATGTCGAAGAGGCGTGGGCCAAAGTAGGGGTTCACACCAAAGGCGACGCTCCAGCCCTGGAAGGTGACGCGGTTGTCCCTGACACTGTAGCGGGGACCCTGGGGCTCGTATGGCAGCGGCCCTGGGGCGCCAGGGGGGTGCCGGGGCTTCATCAAACCCAGCACCTCATCAGCCTGCGGCTTCTTGATCCTGACGAGGCCCAGCGAGCCCCGCACAAACGCGCCCTCCAGGTCCACTGTGCTGGCAAAGTACTGCCCATTGTAGAAGACCTGGCGCAGCCACCAGTGGGAGACGTGGAGGTCCCTGTGCTCCACCAGCACCTCCAGCCC